GATGAATACCAATCCTAAAATAAAAATAGGAGAAATGAATCACTGAAGGGTCCAAATGATTGAATGATTCCTCAAAGCTAATTTTGTGTTAGAACTTCTTCTGGTACCCACAGCATACAGAATCTTGTCCTCCTTTTTCAGAGATGTTTCTTTGTGATAAGTCACCTTCTGAATAAGTAAGGGACACACAGCAGAAATGCTCTGAGTAAATAAGCAGTGTTCTGTGCATCAGAGATTTGATGAGAATCTTCCCACAAAATGTCAAAGCTACAGGATACTTTCATTTCACTTTTATTAGCATAAATTCATTGTACAGGGGGGATTCATTGTGCCAATTCCCAATAGCCTTACTTTGTACATTGGTTAGATTGCCCCCATCATCTCCTCCTCCGCAGCCCCCTCTGCAGCCCCCTCTGCATTCCACTTAAAACAATTGCAAGAGGTTTCATAATTTTACTTCCTGTAGGTAAATGAAGCCCATCAACACTATTTCCTCACCTTCATTCCCCTCCTTCTCCACAAATACCTCCCCCAACACATAACCTATTTCACAGTTCTGTCTTTCATTTTTAATTCCAACGTTAATGCTCAAGGGGCTTCATGAAGTATCCCAGTGGTGAATACACTTAATTTGGGTGAGTTCAACCCTGGCAGAGGTAAAGGAGTGTTAATAGAGGGGTTGAACTGACCACAGGATACTTTTCTCTCATATAGAAATCCCTGGTCTAATCTCAGGCAACAAGCAAGAAAAGGAAATGTATGTGGAAGTAAGACAAAGACTTGAGCAAACTTGCTGTAGGAAACCTATGCTAAAGATACACAGATAAGTACAAAAGTTAAAAAAGGTAGGGATGTAGCTCAGTGGTTGAGTGTTTGCCTAGCATGCACAAGGCTCTGGGTTCAATCCTCAGTGCGATAAAAACAACAACAAAAAAGCACAGCAGGGTTAGAATCACCTTCTAAGTAGATACAGATGAAGAAAAAAAGCTTAAACGATTATCTGGCAATGTAGGACACTGATTAAGAGTTTGCCTTAAAATCTGGCAGAATTAAAACCTGGAAATCTGGGTCAGAATCCTCACAGTATCCTCACTGTGCCTTGTGAGGGTGAGTGAGTTACTTAGCCACTTAACCTCTTCAAGCCTCAGTTTTGTCACTATAAAATGTAGAGAATTTAATTCATTATATTGTTTTAAGGATTAAATGGGTTAAGACCCTTTAGTGCTTAGCACAAGGTCTCACACATTCTGTTACATCTGAATATTACTTTAAAACATTTCTCTATACTGTCTAAATTTTCTGTACAATGATTATACTGCATTTATCAGAAAAACACAAAAAATAATTCAGGGGAAGAACCTAGTACAACTTAAGAGATACTGGATTCAGGCATGTTCCAATGGAAATAATGACCAGAGTAGTTTTTATTATTATTCTTTAAAAAATTGAACTTCAGGTACAAAATTGGGTTAATCATAAGCATATGGCTATGGCAGAGTATGCTAGACTTTATTTGCTCTTTGTTCTAGATACGAGTCTAGATTACATTTCCCAGCTGTAACCTCATTCCCTAATCTACCACTCTGTCCTTCCTTCTAGATGGAATCAGATATCACTTGTCACTTATGAAATGTGACCAAAGAAAACATGTTACTTCTAGATGGTGAACAGTAAGCAGTCTTTTGTTCTCTCAGGCCATAAGGGATGTCATTACTCAGGAGCCTCGTTTTCTGGGTCACTTTTGGAGGACAGCCTCGAAGGTAGACAGCTGATTAGGAATACTTGCATTGATTTTTGTGTTAGTCTTATCTGGATGATATGATTAAGTATACATCATCACCATTGATCAATACGTGACCCTATTTTATTCATCTAATTAAAGTATATAATGTACCACCATTTATCTACCCTCAATCTGAGCACTTGAAACTTCTAAAAATGTACCTCTATTTGCTCCTTTCCTTTGAAATTCTCTAAGTATATATATATATAGAAGCAGAATTTCTGGATCCATATGATATGCAAATGTTCAGTAGATGTTGTAGATGACAATGCTAAATTGCTTTTCAAAGTGTTACATCAACTTTGAATATCATGAGTAATATGCATTGGTCCATATCTCTGTTATCACAGTCCTATTAATGGAATTATTAATTTTGTCCATTTAAATAGGAATAAAATGGGACAGCATGAGAGACATGTCTGGGAACCAAGGGGGTAGTGTGGCTATTATGGAGTAAGAGAGGAGGGGAAGAGAAGGAGATGATGTTGGAGTGAATGCCACTTGTAAGCCTTTGTGAAGACTGAATTTAACTCCTAAAAGTGGAGAGACAATGAAGGATGTTTTTGCAGAAAATCAACATGGTATGACTTTCATTTGAAATGATCATGTTGGCAGGTATGGTAAATTGAATGAAAGGGGCCAGGGTGGAATCTGAAAGACCAGGATTGCATGAATCCACTAATCCAGATGAGAGACGATGGTGGTTTACAGATTGTGGTGTGGGATGGTGGGAAGAGTTTAAATTCTATTTTTTTAAAGCAGGGAGCCTACAGCATTTTCTGACCGATTGAGTGTGATCTGTAAGAAAAAAAAAAAGAAGAAGAGTAGAGGATGAAGGAAATTTCTTGTGATATATTGCTCTTCTAGCTCTTGTTAACCAATATCCATATGTGCAGATCTTGCTCACTGTATACTAGGCTTCTACTACCTTATTTTTACTTACTTCTTCTACACCACAAATTCTATTCTATGCTTTGACAAACTGAAGATGAAAAATTCATACTGAGAGTATAAGAAATTCCATTTTAATATGCTAAATAAAATTTAGTCATTAGTCAAATTGTCTATTTGGTTAAAAATAAAGAAAACCATAAGCACAATCTCCTCACTTACTATTTGTCTATTAAATTGATGGATATAAGTATGTATATTTGTCTTATACAAAATGTCTTTGTGCTGCTGGGGTTGGGACCCAAGGGCTTGGGCATGCTAGGCAAGCACTGTACCTCTGAGATATGTCCCCAGCTCCGACTGTGTAGCTCAGGATGGCCTCAGACTTATGATCCTTCTGCTTCTACCTCCAGAGAGCTGAAATTACTGGTGTGAAGCACCAAACTGGGAAGAACATGTTTTTAAGTTTATAGACATGCCAATTGTTGAATGACTAAATCTAACTAATTAATGTTTACATTACCTCCATAGTTATTTTTGTGGTGAAAACACTTTAAATCCACTGTAAGCATTTACCAAGAATATATTATCTTGTCAACTACAGCCATCATGAGGTGCAATAGATCCCCTGAATTTATTTCTCCTTTTAAACTGAAATTTTGCATCCTTTCACTAATACTTCATTCCAATTGCCTCCCCCACTCCCAGTCCCTGGAAGTCACCATTCTACTCTGTGCTTACATGAGATCAACTTTTCTATATTCCAAATATGAGTGAGAGTATGCTGTATTTGCCTTTCTGTTCCTGGGTTATGTCACTTAACAAAATGTCCTAGAGATTCATCCATGTTATCTTAAAGGGATTTCCCCCTTTTGTGGCTGTTCACTCCCATATGTCTGTATTTGGAACTTGGAAGAGAACATATTACTACATGTCAAGTGGTGATAAGAGAATCAGTTCGAATGGAAAATGTGTTCAGAATTTAAAGATCAATAGTGTGGAAGTAAAAATAATTAAAAACCCATTCTAAAGTTCAGATGAAGTCTGGCTGGAAAAGTAAATGTCATTGATGAAAAATTTAGATATTAATCTATAATTTTCATGGAAACAGGAATACATTTTCATATTCCTAGTGGCAATGACAAAACTTTTAAGTACACATATATTCAATAAATGCACTTTATTGATGCTTACATAAAATGAGATCCAATAAAACAATATCAAGTTCCAAAAAGACTGTAGTGCAAATGATGTACTCAAATCCTGCTGGAGGCATTTCAGTTGAAACTACGTTTTGGGAAGACTAAATGATAACACACAACAAGAGCTGTAAAGGTGGTTGTACAATTTTACCAAGCATTCCTACTCCTGTTATTAAAGGATATACTCATATTGTATTAATAAAAATTGACCTTATAGATATGCTCTACATAACAATAACTTATAAAGGAATGGTTTGTATGTATATTTCTCAAAGTTGAGTATGAAGATTGAATAAACAAGATGATATTTAAATTGATGTTATGACAGTATTTGTAATGATCACAATTGTACAAACATAGGCACACCAAGAGTCACTGGCAAATAATAAAAATGAAGCTGTCACAATGGTACTATAGTAGATAATTTTCTCTAATTTTTTTCCTAAAATAAAGTTGTTGTAAGACAACTTTTCAATAGCATTCAAAAATACATATTAAGTTCCAAAGGGCAAATGTGTACATAGACATGCTAGGAACACTTATTTAACTGTTTCTTGAGCACCTGGAGATAATGGTGTAAAGGAATGGGTACAACTTGACTAAGGGTAGAGGAGAGAAATGAGAAGAAAAAGAAATCAAAGGAATCAGAGGCTTGATGTGGTAGCAATGCCCTTCATTTCTCTAAGGAGTCAAGTATGCTTGTGGAAGCCCCGTAACACAGGAGGAAAATGGGATGGACCATGGTGACCACCACCTACTCAATTCCTTTACACTGTTCCCATGTCGAATCATGACACTAACAGCCTCGAGACCTATTGGCAGTGGAAGATCTGACTCTATCCTGGTGGTCAGAGATGAGACAACTACCTTCTGCTCTATGCATAAACTTGGTTTCATCGACACATTAACCACAAGAGAAAAGGGAAAGGCCACAAGGTACAGGGTTAGTTTGAATGGGGTAAGGGAACTTGTGTTTAAAGAAAAAAAGTCATCAGTATTGCAAAGACTTTCCACTATTCCCCACCCACCTCCAAAAGCCCCCTCTCACCACAGGAAGTGCACTGACCAGCAGCAGAATAAAAGGGGCTCCGGAGGAGCTGGATCCTCACTCTCCTTGCACAGCTCAGCAGGACCTCAGCCATGAGACTTCTCCTGACCTTCCTGGCCATCTGCTGTCTCACCTCATGCATTGTAGAAGGTAAGTTGAGAAATTGTTTATGAGATAAGGAGCAGGGATGCAAGGCAGGTGGACACAATACTTTGGGTTTTACTGGAGTTAACAGCCTTGAAATTCCCATATGCGAAATGGGAATGGTACTTTCAACTCGAGGGAATTTTATCAATTCCCAAGACAGAATTTGCTCAGTGGCTGCAGTCAAGTCTTCCTAATTGAAGATTTGGGATAAATTTCTTAACCATTCTGAACTTGTGCTTATTTAACTATACGTTGAAGATACACTTTATGCATCGAACACTCCACTGTTCAGACTTATTTATTTATTTTTAGATTTTTATTTTATTGAATCCCATCAAATCTCTACAAACAGTAATTTTTTTGCTTTATGTTAGCCGTGGAATGATGGTGGTTACAAATACATTTGTAGCTATGCCCATTCAGTATTTATCTTTACATTCTCATCTTTGAGAGTTTCAACAGAATGTGGGATTGAGCCAGATAATGTATGTTCTGAAGCAAATCAATGTTGTCCATTAACAATAATCAAACTAAAAATGACCGGAAGCTCATATTTTCATATCTAGAAAATCAATAGTACCTTCCAGTAAGCAGGGGAGTCTGTTTTACTGCTATGAGCATTACCATATAGGATAAACTTCTTGAATTTGTAAGGGATCATATGATAATAAGTGTTAATAGAGCAACACTTTATACACAGTCAAATGAACCCGCAAGGCATACTCAGGTGAGATTGAGATATACTGAGCCTTATTTGAACATTAAACAGCTATTTCTTTTCTTTCACTATTTTTAAATTTTGTTCTCTCTCTCTCTCTCTCCTCAGCAGATATTTCTTAAAGGATCACTTTTTCCTGCTGGCTAGAATTAATTTGTAGACTTAGACTACAATTCTATAACTTGACCATGGATTCCCCAAAAGGGCCCATGAGTACTGGTGACAAAGCCTAGAGCTCCTTGAAATTGGGTGAAGGAAAAAAAGTTTAAGACTACTAAATTAGGCCACATGTTGCTACATGGCTGGCATTATGATGAGATGACAAGTGTACCATTTGGTGGAGACCTAGACTTGGGCAGGGGCCAATGATGTTCTGGGACAGATTGAGAGCTATTGACACTGGTCTCAAATTCCCATGTTTTCTACAGAAAGGACTTTGTACGTCTCACTGCTGCTAAGCTTCTTATGTATAAAAAGTAGGGCACCCCCATACTTGCTTTGACTCAACTCAACAACCTAAGTGAAGGCAAGGGTTGAATAAATAATGCAGATGCTCAGCATTGCTGAGACTAAGCAAAAGTTTTTGCGATTTAGAGTACAGTAAGATTCTGTGGGCATGTCCATAATAGGTACTTCACAGAGGGAAATACTGTTTCTGAAGTAGTGAGAAAAAGAGGAAGAATGCCAGGTTTTCTCTTTTTTAAAGAGTTCAGCATCAAAAATAAATTGGCAATGGTAGACAATGAAGAAGGTGCAGATTGTCAGTGAGAACCATGGAAAGGAGAAGTGAACAAAAGAAATGAGTGAACAATTTTTGCTTAGTAGCATGTTTTAAAAAATGCTTTCTAATATCAACACTGCAATTCAAACATGAACATTCACTGTAGTTTCTTAAGACGCATTAGCTAAAGGGAAGCACATACCCATATCTATGGCTAGGGAGAAAAATTAGCCCTTAGAGGCCTCAATTAGATTTTACCACACCCTTAATGTCATTTACTTTTCCAAATTATTTTCCTTTGTTCAATGTAAGATGCTTCCCTAAACTTAACAGTTTAATTCCCCTTGGGTCATTCCTTTGAAGATGAATACTTGAGGAAGCCCTTCCTTTCTATATTTCACATTTTACCTTTGAAACTGAGAATACCTTTATTCAGTTGAAAATAAGTTACCTTTCCTGGTGAATGTTGTTTTCTCCAAATTATTTTGTCACATTTTACTTTTATTTCACTTATAGCACCATTATATTTACATCTATTTGCAATGATCTCTCTATTTACCTGAGCCTTGCCTGGCTCCTTCCTATATGATGTGCTTCATAAAACAAGGTCAATATACATCTTAAGTAGCGCCTTCAACACTTGGGACATAAAAGGCACTCAGTAAGTAGATGCTGTATAAATGAATAAGTGAGTGTCACTGGGATGTCGCTACCCAGTTTAGGTGTCTTGATGAAAATAAACAGAGATGGATAACACCTCATTACTTTCACCACGAAATTCCTGAAACACTATTAATCTAACTTCTGAAATTAGTTAAATGTTTTCTAAGACTCTATGATGTACAAGAGACTGAGAAGTCTAATATGACTCGTTTCTTCTCAAAGTAGAAAGTGGCCTTACATTCCTATAAAATTCTTAGAGTAATTTATGAGGCGATGGTTGTTCTGATCATGGTAAGTAGATTTACAGTTTTATTTTTATTTATCTTCTTTTTGCTTTCCAGGTGTGGGAAATGAAGTCCCAGAAAAAAGTATCTGTGTGAGTCTAACAACTCAGAGACTTCCAGTCAACAGAATCAAGACATACACCATCAAGGAGGGCTCCATGAAAGCAGTAATGTGAGTGTCTCTCTAAAAGCTGGGCTTGGTGGAGGATATAGAAATATAATAGAAAGAAATACTGCCCTCCTCAGGAAAAAAATAGGTCAACATGGAGGAAGCCTCAACTTAACCAATAGCCTCTTTATTTGTCCATATTAATCATGTCTTCATACAGCCTTACCAGATAGATTATTGCTAAAATTTAATCTCCAAATAAAGAATACAAGTCCTCTTTTCTTATTTTGCTGAACAGAAGAGTCTGACTGGAAGCCAGATGATTACTGTTGCAAATTCTGTAGAGAGATGTCTGACCAAGGCCAGGATTTGCCCACATGGCCAGAATAGTGTGGGATGCCTGGGATGGGAATTAAGCACAGGACCATGCCTTATCAGTTGCCCTATTTAAAAGGAATGTGTCAAGAACTAGCTGACATGGTACCACCCCTTTCCAGATTTCTTTTTTGGAAGTAGCAGTAGCAGCTTTTCTTAACAAAGAATTTCAAACTTTACTCTAAGAAATCACCCCAAACTAAAAATAAGATAAGTTTGTTTAGATATGCAAAGGACGAGAAAATGCAGTAAATGAACGAGATGCTCTTCAGTGTCCAGTTTAGTTACAGCAGTTGGAACGTTTGGTAGCACTGGTGAGGAACGATCGTGAGAATCACCATGGGCATGGAAGCTGGGGACCACCTGTAGATATTTCTCCTTTATGTTAGAATAGATGGCAGAAGAAAGGTGTTCATTCACAGTCTCCCGGTTTCAAAACATTATTTCTTCTGCTAGTTTCTGTAGAAGATCTCATGTTTGGTCAAGTCTTATCTCTTGACCCTGAGACTTGGAGAATGTGACTAACTTTATTGTCTCTTTTCTGTGCATTGCAGTTTTATTACCAGACGTGGCCTAAAAGTATGTGCTGACCCTCAAGCCAACTGGGTGAAAGCAGCAGTCAAAAGCGTGGATTTCAGGTCCACCACCAGAAAGAACATGATCCAGACCAATCCTACAGGAGCCCAACAGGCCACCAATCCAACTATGACCCTGTCTGGGTAGTGACCTTCTGGAACTCTGTTTCTCAGTAGCAGCCAGCTCGCTTCACTTTATAAGCTCATGGACTAAATTAGATTATACTTTTGAAAGTACTGCATGAATAAAATTATTTTCTTGTATTTTTATTTTTTTAATGTCTTTACTCATTTAGATGTAATTAATAAATATTTATTTGTATGGATGGTTCTATAGTCTATTCATTACATACAGTGAAAAGTAATATATCATTTATGTTCTATTTATGTCCTAATCACAACTTTCTTTCTCATGAATCTCTAGTATTTATGGTGGGAGAAATTTTGGCCACTATTTGGCCAGTTTTATCAGAGATAAAAGGTACATGTATCACTCTTAATTTCAAGCTTGTAATGGTTCTACAGATGTAAGTCACAAGTTATAATTGTGACAGTGACAACAAATCAAGATCTATTTCAAATTTATAATAGAGTGTTATTTTAGAAAAGGGATAAGATCTTCCAACTATCATTATATTCCCATTCTGAGGGCTCCTTCTTTAAAAGTGACTTCTCTTAAGTTTGATCTCAAGCAAATCCTCCTACCTCTCTGGGTTTCTTTTTGATTTTCTATTAAAGAAAAAGAAAGAACTCATCGTTTCTTCACTTGCCTGGTAAGCACAAGTTAGACTTTTAGTGTAAAGAAATTCTATTCTAGTAAAAATCAATAGTTATGCATTAGTTGTGTTATTTATATATTATCTTACTACTATTTTGCAGACACAGTGTTACCATCAGTTTCTAACCTATTTCCATGACATTGGTGAATGCTATTCCTAATAGAAACAGGAACACTGAGTCATTGAAGGGCCCTAGTGATTGATTATTCAAAGCTAACTTTGTGTGAGAATTTCTCCTGGTACCCACAGCACAGAATTTTCAGTGATGTTTCTTCATAAGTCACCTGACGAATTAAGGACACACAGCAGAAGAGCATCTGAGATATGATGAGACTCTTCCCATAAAATGTCAGAGCTACAGGATACTTTTCTGTCTTATAGAAATCCTGGTCTAGATCTCAGACTGAAAGCAAGAAAACGAAAATATTTCATCTAACTTTTCAAGGTGAAGGTTTTATGTTAGAACACAATTTCCTGAGGTCTGCAGGAAGCATATGTAGTTCCTGTTGAGTCAGAATTGTGACAACATGTATAGCCCTAGGATCTTTGTTTTTTATTAGCATATATTAATTGTACAAAGGGGTTTCATTGTGGTATTTCCATACACGCATATAATGTACATCAACCATATTCCCCCTTCTGTTACTCTTTCTTATATTCATCCTCCCCCCCCTTTTTTTTTACAATGGACAATGACTTTTTCATATGTGCATATAATGTACCTGGGTCAGATTTATTCCCCATTATACCTCTATTTTCCCTCTCCCTTTTCCCCACCTTTTGGTTACCCCAGTAGTCCCACTTTTGTGTTCATTTATGATCTTTACTTTTGTATGTATTGCTAGCATTGTTATCTTTGGAAATTTAATAGAAAATAGTTGTGATAAAAGCACTTTAATGAAGAAAAAAGAAAAGGGATAAATATTTTAATTAAAAAGGAATTAATAGGAAATTCATAAAATATTATTAACTTCACTAGCAGTCAGAGTAGTTAAAATTGAGCAACAATGAGATATTTCCTATAACCAATCACCTGTAAATTAACAACGGCTAAAAGGACTGAGAAAATCCAGTTTTGGTAAAGATTTGGGACAACAAGTGTTTTTATAACTTATTGGTTAGAGCATCAATTAAATCCTGTTAGGCCTTACATTAAACCATAGTATCATACATTGTATATCAATATCCACAAATTGCATTTCACATCTCAAATTTGGTTTTGTAGTTCAGTGGACAAGCAATGACCATTGAGAGCTATCTTATGTGGCATTAACCTACCAGTAGCTATGATTTTATGTATTTGACCTTTCACAGCTTTTTAAGAAAGTAGTAAGTGTGGAAGTAAATTTCCTGGAGGAAACATATGTTAAATAGATATACAGGTGAAGTACAAAAACTTAAAAAATTGTATATGCTCATTGCTGTGTGGTCCAAGGTTGAAAAAAAAGAAATGACATAAGAAACCATCAAAACCAGATTAGTATGTATCAGAGATTATTTGACAGCATAGGGTACTGGTTAATAGCTTGTCCTTGAAATCTGGCAGACCTGGGTTTGAATCATCACTATATCTTTACTGAGCTTTGTGAGGGTGAGTTACTTAACCTCTTAACCTCTTCAAGCCTCAGTTTTCTCATCTGTAAAATGTACAGAACTTAATCCATTATATTATTTTAAGTACAATTTAAGAGTTATTATATTCAGGCATACTTCAAAGGAAATAGTGACCACAGTAGTCTTTTGTTACTATTCTTGAAAAAAAATTGAACCTCATGTGCACAATTGGATTACACATAAGCATGTGGCTATGGCAGAGTATGTTAGACTTCATTTTCTTTTTGTTCTAGACAAGGGTCTAGATTACAATTCCCAGCTGCCACCCCATTCCCCATTCTCCCATTCTTTTCTTCCTTATAGATAAAATGAGACCAAAAAACATGTCACTTACGTGATTAAAAGTAGGCAGACTTTTGTATGCTGTGCTGTTCTTTCAGACCATAATGGATGTTATCACTCAAGGGTCACTTTTGGAGGACAGTCTCTAAGGCAGACAAATAATTAGGAATACCTGCATTGATTTTCGTGTTAGTCTTATCTGATGATATGACATCATCATCATTGGTCAGTATGTGACCCTGTTTTATTCAACTTACTAAATTGTATAATGTACCACCATTAATCTGCCCTCAATCTGATCACTTGAATGTTCAAAATCATGGACATTTATTTGCTCCTTCCCTTTGAAATTCTCTAAGAATATATCTAGAAACAAAACTTTGGGATATTTGTGATATGAAATTGATCAGTTTTCTATGACAATGCTAAATTACTCTTCAAAGTGTGTATCAGTTTCTAATGTCATGATTATTGTATGTTATTCCACATCTGCTATCACAGTAATGGTATCAGTTACTAAATTTGACCTTTAGAATAAGAGGATAATAGGGGTCACACTGTCATCTTAACTTCAGTTTTCATGATCCCTGTTGTGCTTAAGACAAGACACTTCTAAGGAAAAAAATAAGAAAAGGGGTTTGCCCTACTAGCAATTAAATTATAAGGCCACACTAACAGAGAGAATGATGTTAGTGAGCATAGACAAATGAACCAATGGAGCAGGACAGAGCATCTGGAACAGCTGGAAATGTGAGTGCAACTTTGATATAGGACAGGGAGTGTGGGAAAAATGGAGTGATTCAAAAACCAGAGCTAAAACATGTGGTTGTGTAAAGACTAAATGCCTGGGAGCTCTATCACTATATATGGAAAGTAACACAAAAAAGTTAAAAATGAAAATGTCAAATGCAAGGCTCTAAAAGTTCTAGTAGAAAAGAAAGGTAAAATACTCCTGACTTTGGGGAAAGGAGGAACTTATTAAGGCTCCAAAAGTATTAGCCATAAAACAAAACAGCAATGAATTTGACCACACTAAATCTAATTTTTTGTCTATCAAATTAATCATAGAGGTAGTGAAAAGAAATGCTACATATAAGCTACAAGAAAACATTTGCAACACCTATGACAGAAGAATAAGAAAGAACATATTAAGAATTCTTTCTTCCTTTATTTGGTGATACTGGGTGTTGAGCTCAGGACCTTGTACTTGGCAGGCAGGACTTCCACCACTTGAGTCATGCCCCTAGACATGGTTATTTTTTGATATAGTGTCTTTCTTTATGCCTGGGCCAACCTGGACTGCAGTCTTCCTACTTAGGCTTCTCTACATAGGTGGAATGCCAGGCACACACCACCACGCCCAGCCATGGCTTGAGATGGGGTCTGGTAACTTTTTGCCTGGGCTGGCCTCCAACCATGATCCACCCACATCTTGAACAACTAGAATTACAGGCTTGAGCCTCCCTTTTCTGCTTAGAATACATAAAGGATTCTTGCCTAAGAAAAAGGCAAATGACATAATGGGAAAGCTGTAAATTCTGTAGAACAAACACATATTCTACAGAAGAGGAAATCCATGTATGGATTATATATTGTATATGATGATATAGAAAGTAGTTTTTCAGGTGGATCAAAATATTCAAACCTGAAAGAAAAAAGAAAACAGAAAGCATATTGTTTTCTTTATTTGTATCCTTCATACTTCTTCCTTGGATAATGAATGTTTTTCATCTGGTGGATTTAATCATTCCATTTTGTGGTCACACACATAATGGATACTGATGTTCCAGAGTACTAGACTTTACAGGTATAAATGTATGTTTTGTTTGTCCTCACGCATACTTACACACTCATATACTCACACTCATACACACTTAGATTTTTTAGGACTATACTAATTGAAAAGTTCCTTTGTGAGAGGCATTGTACCAGACTCAAAGCAACGAGAAAAACAAAGATTTCTTGGAAAGGGGTGGACAATCATAAAATCAGCAAGGAAGTCATTATTATATTAGAAGGTGCTTAAAAACTCTGAATGAAATTGGAGTGGGGAACATAGATCAAATCAGCCTTGGCTGGGTGTTGGTATAAAGTTTTAATGGGTGCTCAGGGAACACCATAATGAGAAATCAACATTTGAGCAAAAAATGGAAGAAGGTGAGGAGGAAAGGAATGATTATGTCTGAAGGAACCAAATTCAGACAGAAGCAGCAGTAAGTGCAGAGTCTGAGGGGGACTTTATATGTTGTATTTTTATTATTTGTCTTAGTTATTTTTTAAATTGATGGGGAAGAGTATATGTATTTATTTTGTGCAACATGTCTTTGTGGTGCTGGGGATGAAATAATGCAGTATTTGTACTTCTGTACCTGGGTTATGTAACTTAACCTAATGTCCTACAGGTTATCTTAAAGGAATTCCCCCCTTTTGTGGCTGGTAGTATTACATTGCACACATATATCACATAGTGTCA